TATGTTCAAGGGGAATGTGTGTTGGTGTTGGTCGAATGTTTATTCGATCACGTTGGTACTGTACACTCTCTGGTGTTTCCATTGTATATTTGCGATCTGAGTTTCGTTGAACAACTTTGGCTGGTTGCCATGTAGATTTTGGCGTTTTCTGGAATCTGCACTCTGTACCAACTTCAAGACGGGGTGGTTCAGTGTTGGCATGTTTTTGCTTTGATGTGAATGCTGCTTCTGTGGGTTGGGAAATTGACACTTGGTACTGAGTTCTTGACTTTTCTGTTGTATGGTGATGGAATCTCAGATTATATGGGGGTGTCCCTCAATGTTACAAGAATCTCGTTTAGACTTTTCTCCCCTTTCTCCGATTTCTTTAGCATGTTTTTGAGTGTTTGAATGTTTCGTTCGGCCCTCCCATTCGCTTGTTGGTGGTGAGGAGCCTTTGTTCTGTGGATAATCTCGTGTGTATTGCAGAACTCTGTAAGTGTGTCACTGGTAAGCTGCGGGCCGTTGTCTGAAATCAATATGGTGAGGTTGCCAAAAAGTGAAAATATCGTTTCAAGCTTGTTGATAATTGTATTACTTGTTGTATTCATCATTTGGTCTACCCATATATATCCTGTGAAGTAATCAACTGTTAACAGATACTGCTTGGCTCCAGATGTGTGTATAGGTTTCACTGGCAATTTGGACTGATTTCTTTGATAAGTTTGACATGCATCACAAGCTTGTATAATGCTTTCAATGTCTGCATTGATGCCTGGCCAGTATATTGATTGTCTAGCTCTCAGTCTGGTCTTTTCAATTCCCTGGTGTTGTCTGTGCAATAAGTTAATATTCTGGGTCTCATCTCTATTGGTATGACGATCCGGGAACCTTTCAGTATTAAACCGTCGTGCATCGCTAGTTCGTAGCGCTGTTGCCAATACACATGGGGTATCTCGTTGCATTAATATTTTTCCTTTGGCCAGCCGCTTTTTATGTATGTGCTGAGTGCGTAGCATGCTATCGGCTGCAGTGGCTTCCTTTATTTTATCTATAACGAATGTTTTCACATCAGTCAACTCATTTATTTGGACTTCAAGATCTGGGACTTGCAAGGTTTCTTGATTAGGCTCTATACAGCGCGATAGGCAGTAGCTATCAAAACGTCTTTGCCAGGTACATACTTGATTGTGCCTTTGTAGTCTTGCATCTGTAACATCAGTCGTTGGGAGTCTGGTTGGCATTTTGGATATGTCCTTTTTAGCAATGTCCTCCAGTGGTTTGTGATCAGTGCACTATGATAACAGCATATTTCACAGCTTTGGTTGATCCACTCTCATTTTCCTCAATGTTTATTACATCAAGATTAAAACCATAGTCTGCTGGGTCTTCAATGTCATCTGGCAGTACATTTACTTCATGTGTATGTCTTGGTTGCTTTTGACTAGAAAGACATTTCCCACATTTTTTACATACCTGTCCAAAAGCTGGGCATTGTTTCGGCTTGTGCAAGATTCCACAGTAACGGCAATCTTTACTGAAATTCCCAGGTGTATAATGATTCTTGGCGTAAGTGTTTGTGACGGTGCTCTTGCTTTTGTAGTTAGGCCTATAGTATACTGCCTCAACTTTGCTGGTCATTGCATCCTCACTCAGGATGCTGCTTCACTAATTCTTAGACTCTCTAGGGTTGTTTTAAGATTAGTGTTCTTGTCTTTCAACCGAAAAATTCTGGCTTTTGCAGGTTCGTCGGAGCACCCTATCACTAATTTATCTCTTAGCATTTCATCTTCTTTTGTCTCAAACTTACATTCTTCCGCCGACTGTCTAATACTGATCTATGGTGTCTCTGCAGCTTCTTGTTTTGCCATGTAGAATCTATATCATTCATACAAAATGTTTCTTGTAGGCTTGAAATGCTCATGTAACTTTGTTACTATCGTGTCATGGTCTTTCATCTCGTTCTCTGTAAGCCCTAATGTTCTCAGTCTTTTCCAACAGTCACCTCCTATAATGGATCTGAGTGTAGCAAATTGAATATTGGCATTTTTCTTATCTAAGCCTACCGCTATACGGTAGTCTGTCCAGGCCTCCCTGAACGATATCCATGACTTCTCGAGGTTGCCTGTAAATGCCATAGGCTGGGGCGGTGGTATGGCGTAGGCCATGATAATACAAAATCTCGTTCGTACGGTGTACGCTACTCACGGTTCACGTTGTGACTCGTTGGACACCGTGGTACGACGTTCTCTTGGCATGCAGAGTGGCTAGCTGAATGGGTTTTTTTTATCGTTTACGCAAAGGAATCACAGCAAAGTGGCTTGTCCTTTGGTCGGGGTCACCATGTTATGTTTCTTGAACATCTTTACAATCGGTGTTCAAGAAACATGTTATGTTTCTTGAACACCGATTGTAAAGATGACAACGTCAAACGTATATATACAACGATAACAATGAGTTTTATTAAACTTCAAAATCACACGTTTCCAAGGGTGCAAGTCATGCTCTCGAACACGCCCTCTATAGCATACTAATCTAACACTCATGATCTTTTATCAGGGATCTACTTAATATCCAGGACAACTTAGGCCTAATTATAGCTAACTAAGCCTTAACTATATATACTAAAGTGTGATCAACAAATCACAACCTTTTTTCGCATTTAGCACAATTTTCTTCACTTTTTATTGCTATTAATATTATTATCAATTATTACTGTCGTCATCATCATCATTGTTATTATTATTATTACAATAGTAGTATTATTAATTCAATTCAATCCAATAATAATTTTATTCCAATATCAAACTATACAATTATCAGCAAAAGAAATACAAAGGTAGTAGATAAAGCAATAGGTTACAAAATAAGCAAGAAAAATGCTTAAAAAATTATTAAGAGTATAACATCAAGAAATAACAAAAAAATATATGGACCTATCAAAGTTAACATTTATTTTTATATTTTTCTGTAAGGTACTGATAGACATTGCTTTTTAATTGCTTTTTGAGTAACTCTTTTAATTCATCAGTTAAATTATTCCAAGTTTTTGCCCCTTGATAATACATTGTTGCCCTACGCTTGTGCGTTTTTTTTTAGGGCATGTTAGTTCGATTTCTAGTGCTGTAGTTATGGAATGATTCAAGTGTCTTAAATAGGTTGTTAAATGATACTGGCAGTTGATTCTTATGATATTGATACATAAATATGGCACAATTTTTTAAGTAAAGATAAAAAATATTTAATGTTTGAGTAACAATAAACAAAGGATATGTGAAGGATGCAAGCGGTCAACATGACAGATATTTCTTAATGCCTTTTTTTGAAGTATGTACAAACGATTTAAATTACTAGCAGACGTGGTACCCCATGATGTAATTGCATACTGTAAGTTAATCTAGGAAGTATAAGTGCATTGTATATTGTTAAACAATATTTTACTTGATAATATTGGTTTTACCTTATTAAAAACACTAATGACCCTTGAAATATTCGTTGCAATTTTCGGGGCAACACCTCACATAGCCCCCCCCCCCCTTTCACTTGGGTCCCCCACTCGGCCGCTCCCCAAATTAAGACCCTATTTGTCCAAACCACATACATGAATATGATTCCATGTGATTATTTTTTTGCAATGTAGATGTATCAGAATAATCTGACGAATAAACGATAATAATTTTTTCCTCTGGTTTGGAACAGGAGAGCATTGGATGGACTATTCCCCTGGGGAATTATTCATCTACTAATAAAAATACAGAAAGACTGAGAAAGATGCCCATAAAACCATAATGTAGAGTTTTCATCCTGGCTTGGGCTCAGGCCCTATGGAGATTTTGTTCTTATACCCCGAAAATTTTTCATCTTGGTCTGGGGCCCCCAGTAGACCCGGGCCAGCGACCTGTCTCTTATACACATGACACCCACTCTCGACGCCACTGGGCATATGTATAACGTGTACTGATGCTTATTTACATGTTTAGAAGTATTCATTTTGAGTGATCCCAGGAAAGAATTTGTATTGGCTCAAGAATAAGCTTTAAAATTTTAACACTGTGTACAAAGGGAGGTTCCTGATTTGATGGAGTTATATGATTTGATAGAGTTATTTATCTATATCTATGATTTTATGGAGTTATATTTTTAAAAATTGCTTACAAATTATATAATAATAATAATAGTAAGAACACTAAAAAAAAACTATTTGGTAGGCTTACACCAATTACAGTACACTGATTTATGTATTTTATTCTTTCAACATTTCTAATGTACAGAACTGTATAGTATGCCCTTTAATTATGTGGCTATTGTTACACCAGTCATAAACCAATTCCTTTAGGCCAGCATTCCGCAAACTTTTTCTTTCACGGCCTATTTACCAAGGGAGCTGTTTACCAAGGGAGCTGTTTGTGTTCCATATGTGTTTGATCCAATGACCGGGGTACAGTAGTAATGTGAAGCGCTTAGAGACATGTGCATGAAACGCTATAAGAGCGACATATTATTATTATTTAGGATTCTTGGCACCAAGCAGCAGCGCAGCACCCCTGCCGCGCCAGGGACTAACATACTAAAACCTGGCAAGAAGTTTTGATCTATGTATATACAATAGTTTGACATCATTATCTCAGTAACAAAATGTCATTGTTTGTAGGCCTATACAAATTTATTAGTATTTTATTAAAGAACACCGTACACTTTTTTTCCACAACAAATTTTTGATCAACCCATGTGTCTGTGTGTTGACGAGCCCGATGCAAATAACGACGACCGGAATAACCAAGCAAGTAATGGTTTTGTACTTGTACAGTATTATTGTTGTTGACATCTTTTATTTCACTCATATTATACATGTTTAACTTAGCAAATACAATTCAGACTAAGCCTCTTCTTGTCGACCTATGTATAGCGGACATTGCAATGCATAGGTGACAGCACATATCACACTCCTCCCCCCCCCCCCCTTTGCCTTCCTGAGTTGTGTAAGAGTACTACTAATTATATGTATCGAATTATCTTTATAGCATCTTGTCCAATTCTATCCAATTCCCCATCTGTTATTGTGATGGTGGGTCTACCAGCCCGTGGTAAGACATACATTGCCAAGAAACTGACACGATACCTTAACTGGGTCGGAGTTATTACAAAAGGTAAGTCAGTTTTCTTTTTTATTCCAAAAATCATTAAACAATATTTTCTTAAATTTATTTAGAAATTAAACACAAACTAATTTTCCAACTTGCAGTGTATTCGAACAGATTACGTAACAAATGTGAACAATTTGACTGATATTTGATGTATGGATTTTTAATATTGTACAAGCTTTCTTTAACATAATAGGTAAATGTTTAATTATAGTCTTTAATGTTGGTGAATACCGCCGAAAGTTGGTTGGTCCAAATACGCCACATGATTTCTTCAAACATGATAATACAGAGGCTCAGAAAATACGGAAGTAAGTTTTTTTTCACAAATTACTACATATTTAATATTCGATAAAGTACCTAGTTTGGGAATTGAAGATTATCCTGACAGTCAATTTGAAAATTCCCATATATACAATCAAGAAAATATCATAAATGTTATATCTTTATTTCACCAAATATAATATAGTTTGCTGTGTATTACCTGGATAAACCGACTTTCACATGAAATAGTCGGCTCCTGGTGCCAAGCACAAGCGATCCCGCAACCATGTGTTTTTTTAAATGAAACTAGACCACTCATGGACTACAAAATCACCATTGATTTGTGTAATCTACAGTTCTGTTTGTATTATCAATATTCTGATTATTGATCAAATGCTGCCATTATTGAATTACACATGAGCATATCATGAGTTTGCTTGAAGCAAATCAGCTTCATCCACTGGGGGTGAGAGAGGGGTGTGTCTCTTTAGACCCGGTGTACGTAACCAAGAGGGGATCATGGAGGCTCCAGATGTAGAAAGTCAAGCAGACATAAAAACCTACCCTCTGCCAGTGTTTATTTAGGTTCAAGTTCTTGGCTATGCTATTGTACCTTTCAGTTTGGCCATTTCCCTGAGGGTTGTACTGAACTGTGACTGTAGCTTGTTGTCCGACTACATGAAACTCCTTTTCTGTTAGAAATTCTCTAAGTTCTCTATTTAAGAAAGCAGTGCTTCTATCTGAATGTGTGCTGGTGTTTCAAAAGGGGAGAACTTACTGGCAGAGACAGTTAATGGCAGTCGAAGCTGTCGTATCATCACATGGAATGATGAATGGGAATCTTGAGTACTCATTAATATGTCAGGAAATTATGATAATAACAATAATAAATGGATTTATACAGCCCACGAATTTCATGTCGGCAATCGGCAATTGCCGACCATATTGCCGAGCCAGAATTGCTAAAGGACTGCAATTTTTTGCTGACCTACTGTAGGCCTAGATTTCTTTGCTTCAAAAACTGCATGGAAAGTCACAAACTTTTACTGAAACAGGCTATAGCAGACACTAAATTTCATTTACGTCGTCAAACCAAGGAAATTGGTGGTTAAAAAAAACAGATTTGTTTGTACAATAACTATTTCTAATAGGCCTGCAATACGTACGATTTGTGTACAATCGTCTTGTATTTCAATCTCACCTAGTCGTTTCATAGGCTAGGCCTACAGTAGGAATGACGCTAGCTAGCCAACATCCCCCAATTGAAGCCACGTGGGACGCGTAGATCGTAATGCTTGTCGAAATCTAATTAGGCGTGATCTACAAATTATTCCCAACGACAGAAACGGGTCAAACACGTTTACTATTGTTATATGACAAGCTCCCAAACGCGTCTGTGAAATGCCGTTTGGAAGCTTGTCGTTCGAGCCGTTTAT